ATTTTTACTAGATGACATTTTTGTTCGCTATAGAGATTCCGTATATCGTCAAGTTATCAGAATTCCAATGGGGACTAACTGTGCACCACTTATTGAGGACCTGTTTCTGTATTGTTATGAGTTACAATTTATGACTAAAATTAGCAAAGACCCATGGAAACAACATCTGATAAAAAATTTAATAACACTTTTAGATATTTGAATGATATATTGGCTCTCAATAATGACGACTTCAGTATGTACACTAAAGAGATTTATCCTGCTGAACTGACTTTAAATAAAGCTAATACTAACAATGAACACTGCCCTTTCCTTGATCTTGATTTCTATATCTTTAAGGGGAAGCTTAATACCAAAATTTATGATAAAAGAGATGATTTTTCATGGTGTTTATATATCTCAACTTGTTCGATTTGCTCATGTATGTAACAACGTATTTGATTTTTAAGAAAGAAACCTCTGTATTACTGAAAAATTATTACACCAGGGTTTTCGATATCATCAAACTAGTCAAAGCATTTATTAAATTTTATCATCGGTACAAGGACATTCGTAAATATAAATCAACATGCAGACATCTTATACGTTCAGGTATTTCACATCCAATCTTTTATGGTGATATTCTATACAAAGCACAAAAATGTTGACATTCACCTCAAAAGCTAACCAAACCTTTAAACAGACTTATTCATAAGGGATATAGTTACGATACTGTTGTCAGGTCATTAAAGATGGCATATTTTGGTATTAATTTGATTCACTCATAGGGTCTTTGCATCGGAAATAAACACATTTATTCTAAAACCATTTGTTGGCATGATACGGGTTATGTTCTACTCATATATTTTATGATGGTATGATACTAAACCCCTAACGGGAGGGATAGTGCTTGATTTTCATATGATGAAGACATAATCTTTCAATCAGTTTAATTGAGGCCTGAAGCTGGCATGTCAGTAACTGCTAGTAGTCCTTTGTTAATTTATGTATCATTGTTTTTTTGCTTAGTTTCTTTTGTTACCTATTCTGACATCGGACTCGGACTTTTAAACTGTGCTTATTGCTGTGTGTTTATTTATTCTACATTGGCTTGAGGTATAGGTGAGGGTTGAGAACTCACAAAACATGTTTAACCCCGCCGCATTTTTGCGCCTGTCCCAAGTCAGGAGCCTCTGGCCTTTGTTAGTCTTGTATGTTTTTTTTAATTTTAGTTCATTTATATGTTTTGGAGTTTAGTGTGACGTCCATTTTCATTGAACTAGTACACATTTTTGTTTAGGGGCCAGCTGAAGTCCGATTTTTTCACTGTGTTGAAGACCCATAGGTGACCTTTGGCTGGGTCGTTGTCTCTTTGACACATTCCCCATTTCCATTCTCAAATTTATAATAGATAAAAAGAAATTTTAATATGCAGAAAGGATCAAGACTAGGGCTGAATTCGTCATATGATCATTTAAAGGAGTAATTTCCCTTGAAAGACCATTTTTTTTTATTTAATTTTTTTTTTGGGGGGGGGGGGGGGGAAACTAAGATAGTTAGAGAGAAACGTCAATCAACAAAAATGTTCAGCAAAGTAAGACCTACAAATATGTGAACAAGACCAAAGTCATCATTAAGAACCTTACAGGAGTTATTGCCCTTGAAAGATAAATTTGGCCAATTTTTTTTTGTTTTTACATAAACTATGATAGATAGAGAGAATCTTTAAAAGGCAAAAATTTTAGCAAAACTAAAACTAACAAAATAAGTCAAAAACCAAAGTTGACATTTTAATACTTATATCAAAGAGTTATTGCCCTATAAAGATGATTTTTACCAATTTTTTTTAGTTTTTGTCGCAGAAAGCTCGACATAGGGATAGTGATCCGGCAGCGGCGGCGGCATTAGATAACTTCTTAAGAGCTTTATATTTTAGAAGGTGGAAGATCTGGATGCTTCATACTTTGTATATAGATGCCTTATGTTACGAAGTTTCCATCTGTCACATGTCCATTGTCCTTGACCTCATTTTCATGGTTCAGTGACTACTTGAAAAAAAAGTTAAGATTTTTTGTAATGTTAATTTCTCTCTTATTATGAGTAATAGGATAACTATATTTGGTTTGTGCGTACCTTGCAAGGTCCTCATGCCCGTCGGACAGTTTTCACTTGACCTCGACCTCGTTTCATGGATCAGTGAACAAGGTTAAGTTTTGGTGGTCAAGTCCATATCTCAGATACTAGAAGCAATAGGTCTAGCATATTCGGTGTATGGAAGGACTGTAAGGTGTACATGTCCAACTGGCAGGTGTAATTTGACCTTGACCTCATTTTCATGGTTCAGTGGTTATTGTTAAGTTTTTGAGTTTTGGTCTGTTTTTCTAATACTATATGCAATATGTCATCTATATTTGGTGTATGGAAATATTTTATGATGTACATGTCAGTCTTGCAGGTTTTATTTGACCTTGACTTCATTTTTACGGTTCATTGCTCAGTGTTAAGTTTTTGTGTTTTGGTCTGTTTTTCTAATACTATAAGCAATAGGTCAACTATATTAGTTGTATGGAAGGTTGGAAGCTGTACATGTCTGCCTGGCATTGTTCATCTGACCTTGACCTCATTTTCATGGTTCATTGGTCAATGTTTAGTTTTCTTGGTTAAGTCTGTATCTTAGAAACTATAAACAATAGGTCAACTATATTTAGTGTATTGAATGATTGTAAGGTGTACATGTATTTCTTGTTTTGGTTTATATGACCTTGACCTCATTTTCTTGGATCATGTCAAATGTATGTGATAGTTGTAGTAAAGCTTTATATTTAGGACTATCAACATAATATAAATGATTAGTAAAGAAGGCGAGATATTTCAGCGTGTGCACTCTTGTTGGCAGAAACTATGATATATTAAAAGAAACACACATTAATATACATTAAACAGTAAAATAATCATTGATGCAAGAACTTTACAAAAAATTCCAGGTGAGCGATTCAGGATCTTAAGGAGCCTCTTGTTTTTTGGTGTTTTTACCTAATTTTGCGGTCGTATATTGGTATGACGTTGGCGTCATCGTCAGAAGACACATTGGTTTTCGCACAATAACTTTAGTTTAAGTGAATGGATCTCTATAAAATTTTACCATAAGGTTCAATACCACAAAAGGAAGGTTGGGATTGATTTTGGGGGTCATGGTACCAACAGTTAAGGAATTAGGGGCCAAAAATAAGCATTTTTGTAACTTCCAGTCAATAACTTGTGCTTAAGTGTATGGATCTCTCTGAAATTATACCACAAGTTTCCATACCACAAAAGGATGGTTAGTATTGGCTTTGGGGGGTTATGGCTCAAACTGTTTAGGAATTAGGGGCAAAAAAGGGGAAAAAACAAGGGTTTCCTGGTTAATGGACAATTTAAAAGCAGTGTAAGGGAGGTAATCCAAAAACAAAATTGTACAATGTTGGATTACCTCCCTTACACTGCTTTTAAATTATCTATTTAAGACTTTTATGATGTATTTAATTTGGTAATTATTGAACAGATATATCATGTTATAGAGGGGTATTTGCCAAAAATAACAGTCAAGGGACTGTGAAATTTCCCTAGCCGCCAGTCGAGGGAAATTCAGTCCCAAGACTGGTATTTTTCGCAAATACCCCTCCATAACATGATATATCTGTTTAATTACACCAAATGGATTTGGATTGAAACTCTCTGTACAGGTGAAGATATTTTTTTTTTTACTTGAAAGCTGTAATTCATTAATATGTTTATGCATAATTTTGAGGATAAGAGGATATTATCATAGAACCGCGAGAATTATACATGTACTAATACACGTGAGCTCGCTTTTTTATGTAATGTCATATCCGAAAAATTTTGGCGGAAAGATGCTCGAAAGGGTAAAAAGGAATATTCAAAATGGAAATACCATGGTATTTGAGTCAAATTCACCGGCAGTGGTGAAAAACAGGCAAATTCGTTTGAAATGAGGAAAAAATATTAGAATATGCAAAAAATACACTGGCTATCAACCAATCAAAATCTGGCTTTCTTATATAAGGTGTAATTAGGTTGCAAACTCCATTGGAAATTTGAATTGAGATTATGACCATATCTTGAGGGAAAGAATTTTTTTTTTGGAGAAGGGGGGGGGGGGGGGGGGTGTAAAAAAGAAATTGTGGGGGGCAATTTTTTTTTTCATTTCAGATTTCAGAAATTAAAAAGAAAATTTCTTCAAATATATTTTTTTTTTTGCAAAAAAAAGGAGGGGGGGGGGGGGGTTTAAAAAAAAATTTTATTTGGGGGGGTCAATACGCAACAGCATAGTGTATTTCACAAAAGCAAAAAATTGAATATAAATTCAAATCAAATAACCCATTCTAAGTTCTTTGACTACCGTTATTCGGTGTCAGAAACCTTTTATGTGTCAAATATTTAATTACAATTTAAATTCAGACCTGTATCAAGCGCGAATATTGTGTCCATTTTCGCCCGAACTGTTTAGGGTTGGACCTCTGCGGTCATATCCAGCTGCGCTCAGCGAAGCATTTTATTTACTTTTATCTTGAAAATTACAATAGAAAGATAGAAACTTAAAAAAAGCAAAAATGATAAGTAAGACCAGATCTACAAACATATCAGTATTGCATTTTTATCTATAATTTTGAAAATAATAATAGATAGATGGAAATGTTTTTGAATAAAAATTGATCAGCATGACGAGATAAGCATAGATAAAATTGGCAGTTGTCTTATGTTATAGAAATTATTAACGACTTTTACCCTTCTTTGTATTTTAGGCAAAATCACCAGAAGAAAGAGAGAAACTGTAAACAGAAAAAAATTATCAGCAATCAAAGATCAACAATAAAAGAAATTTATTCATAAATGATATTCTGTTTTACAATGTTGGATATTGTCCATTGTTGAAAACGCACATAGACATAGAAGAGTGACACAGGCTCTACAGAGCCTCTAGTTATATTATAGTATTGTTAAAATTTGACATTCTTTTACAGAAGAAAAACGAGCTAGCCACTTTTCTGCTGAGAAGGATGAGTATGGTGCTGATAACATGTCAGAGATTCATATTGTTGGCAGGATTGTGATCAATTTGTGGAGAATTATGAGACATGAGGTATAAAAAAATATGAAAGTCAATTGTAATAGTGTGCAGAGAATTTACTGCCACCTGTGAGCTCTCTTTTGTTTGCTCATCTTGTTTTTGAAATTTTGTCAGATATTCTGAATCCTCTGGTTTTATCTATGTAGTGCCAATAAACATTTTGCCTGCTATAACCTCTACTTTTCTTTTCATAACTTTATTACATATATAGTTTGAAAAGCCTTATTTCAAAATCTTATAAAAAATCCTTGTTATTTTTTCAAAGTTTTTGAAAGAAAAAAGGTGTCAATGCTAAATGTATGAAAAATCTAGAGTTAATCAATTCCTGCCAAGTTTTCAATGACATATCTTGAAAACATGGACACAGACCCTTCATTTTTTTCTGCTTTTTTAGTTCTGTTATTTATATACTATCAATTTAAATCAGTCATTTCAAAATCTTGTTATTTTGAATCAAAGGAGTAAACATCCTCAAGTGAACAAGTAGGTGGCTATTTGAAGAAGTTAAGTATCACAACTTGAATAGAATTTTTGATTGCCAGTGTTGTGTTGGAATTAAAGTGATAACAAAATGAAACTGAATTGCATTCCAGTTTTATTTTTTGTTTCGCCTGCGAAAAAAGTCTTTTCTGGTGGTGGTGTCATATGAAAAATTAAACCCCCTAAAAATTGAACCCAGGGTCAAAATACCATATTGAAAATTGAATCTTTATATCAATGTCAAATGTACATTATAACTATATAAAGTAGTTTGAATAGCTATGACAATTTAAAAATCTGAGGTCTATTATGGGAGGGGGGTTCAGGTTTCCATGATAGAGGGTTCAATTTTGCATAGCTGAGTAAAAAAAAAAATTAAATATTTACTCAGCCATGGAAAATTGAACCCCTACCATGGAAAACTGAACCCATCCCCTATAGACCTCAGATTTTCAATTGTCATAGCTTTTCCAGCTATGTTTTATAATAATATTGCATTAATAAGTACTTGGTAGGAATAATACAGGTAAGAAAATATTTTTAAACATTTTTACTCAGCCATGGTAATTAAACCCCTCTCTATAGACCTCAGATTTTCAAGTTGTCATACCTATTCAACTACTTCATATAGTAATAATTCATTTAAGTATTTGGTAGGGATAAAACATATTGGAAAATATTTGTAATAGGATTACAATATTTGGTATATATAGGTTCCTTTCAAGGTCTACATATCAGACAAGGTTCTTCTGACCACCACCTCATTTCATGGGTCAGTGATCGTTAAAACTATGTGATAAGGTCTCTTTCTCAGATACTGTAAGAATAGGTGAACTTTATTTGGTTTATATAATGGTTGTAAGGTGAACATGTCCGTCTGGCAAGTGTCATCAGACCTTGGCCTCATTTTCACGCATCATTGGTCAATGTTAAGTTTTGTGTTTTTGTCTGTTATTCTAAATCTATAAGCAATAGGTCAGCTATATTTGGTGTATGGAATGATTGCATGGTGAACATGTCTGTCTGGCAGGTATCATCTGTCCTTGACCTCATTTTCATGATTCATTTGTCAATGTTATGTTTCTGCAGTTATGTCCTCTTCTAAAATCGTAAGAAATAGGTCAACTATATTTGGTGTATATAATAATTGTAAGGTGTACATGTCTGTCTGGCAGGGTTCATCTGAACTTGACCTCATCTTTATGGTTCATTGGTCAACATTTAGTTTTCATGGTTTGGTCTGTTTCTTGTATATTTTAAGCAATAGATCAACTATATTTGGTGTAATAGACCCTGTGTATGGAATGATTGTAAGGTGAACATGACTATCAACATAAAGTTCAATCATGGTAAGTAAAGCAGGCGAGACATTTCAGCGTGTGAATTCTGGTTTGTCATCTGAATTTCTCATTTATTATGAGTTAGAGTAGCAGGATGATAATATTTGGTATAAGGGATGCTTAAGCTCCTGGCTTGGGACAGCCATCTTTAATGGAGATTTTGTTTACGCTGTTTGAGTTATGATCCTGGTAAATTTGTTGATCCTTTAAATAAACTTAATCTGAAAGGTTACCAATTAAACACTGTAATCAGATTTTTGAATATTGTTTTTATTGGTGTAAATATTGATTTTGTTATCAGTAAATTAAACCTATCTTAATATTATTGCTATACACATATGCACATTCACGGTTCTACAATCTGTAGATACCTGTATCTTGGCATTGCACAAGGTCATGTTTTTCTCTGACTGTTAATGAAGTCTTTACACTTAATCTATAGGATGTTGAATGTGTACTGACTGATGTTTTAGTCTTAGATACATGATTTTTGTAGTAGTTGTTATTAGCTTTGAACTAGCTGTCATTTACTGGCACTACTCTTAGATCTGTGCTTAGAGTATTTTTTGTTATGAGGATGTATAAATACCCCGCCATGTCCAGTCTGTGTTTTTATTCGACCATTTTTGTGGTCGTATATTGGTATCACGTCGTCGTTGTCATGGTCGTCTGAGGACACTTGGTTTCCGGACAATAACTTTAGTGTAAGAAAATAGAAATCTATGAAATTTAAACACAAGATTTATAACCACAAAAGGAAGGTTGGGATTGATTTTGGGGGTTATGGTCCTAACAGTTTAGGAATAAGGGGCCAAAAAGAGGCCCAAGTAAGCATCTATTTAGTTTCCAGACAATAACTTGTGTTTAAGTGTATGGATCTCTCTGAAATTATACACAAGTTTCTATACCACGAAGGGATGGTTAGGATTGGCTTTGGGGGGTTATGGCTCAAATTGTTTGGAAATTAGGGGCAAAAAAAGGGGGAAAAACAAGGGTTTCCTGGTTGATGTACAATAAAGACAATTTAAAAGCAGTGTAAGGGAGGTAATCCAAACACAAACAATGTTTTAAATTATGTATAAAGGAATGTTGTATTGTCTTGAGGTGATTAGCTGTCAATTTACTTTAAGAAGTTACTATTAAATTTATGATGATTAAGGAATATTGATTTTAGCCATGGTTATGTATGTCATTTTCTATTTTAAGACTTTTATGATGTATTTAAATGGGTAATTATGGTTGCAAACTCCAATGGAAATTTGAGTTAAGATTATGACCATATCTTGAGGGAAAGAATTTTTTGTTTGGAAAAAGGGTGGTGGAGGTGAAAAAAAGGGGGGTAAAAAAGAAATTGTGGGAGGGGGACAATTTTTTCTCATTTCAGATTTTAGAAATTAAAAAGAAAATTTCTTCATATATTTTTTTTTTGCAGAAAAAAGGGGGGTTAAATTTTTTTTTTTTTTTTTTAAGGGGGGATAATTTTTTGTTTGTTTTTTTTTTTTTTGGGGGGGATGTTTGGAAAAAGGGTGGGGGAGGTTAAAAAAGGGGGGGATAAAAAAAGAAATTGTGGGGGAGGACAATTTATTCTCATTTCAGATTTCTGAAATTAAAAAGAAAATTTCTTCATATTTTATTTTTTTTGCCAAAAAAAAATGAGTGGGGACAAATTTTTTTTAAATTTTTTATTTTGGAGGGGGGTCAATATGGCAACAGCATCAGGGGTGGTAATTTTTAACCGGATTTTTGAAGGAAATATTGGTTATTAAATTTGGGATGTACGGCAGGCGGCTGGGCAGGCGGACGGGCGGCTGCCAAACAGTGTCTCCATAAAAACATGAAAACGCTTTAACAATTTTTTCAAATTTATATATGTTGTTTCCTGGGACTTAATGAAGGTCTAGTTCATTTTTCAAGATTTTAGTATTTCTCCTTTTTGAGGTATCACCATTTTTAATATCCAAAAGTGGAATTTTTAAATATTTTTCTCTTGTTATCATGTTATCACTTGTCTTATATCACAATGAAAATTGGAGTGACAGATTTATTCGAAAATTATCTATTTCCTAAGTGGTAATGACTATAAGCTATATTATTAGACATTTTGAAGATTATTACATTATTATTTATTATATATGTAATGTTAGAGTACTATGTAACCATAGTTCTGTTCAATTAGATCTGGGAAATATTTTAACATATGATAATCATTTATTTTCATTATTAATTAGATCTGGGAAATATCTTAGCATATGATAATCATTGGAGTGACAGATTTATTTGAAAATTTTCTGTTTCCTGATAAGATCTGTAGGACTGTATATGTAAAGTTTGAAATTAACTGTTCATTGTTAGACATTTTGTAGATAATTAAGTCTCCCTAAACCATATATATTCATACCCCCACCCCCCTTCAATTTGAGAATGTGCTTTTATCTTGTAAACGGTCGAGATCCCCACCCCTAATCCATATATATTCTTGCATGGGACAATAAAACAAATCAAATCAAATAAAAGGCCAGTCCCCTGGGGTCACCCCCACCCCCTTCTGTTTGAGAACTTGTAAACGGTCGAGATCCCCGTCCCTAAACCATATATATTCTTGTATGTGACAATAAAACAAATCAAATGAAATATAGGGGAAGTCCAGAGGGGTCACCCCACCACCCTTCTTTTTGAAAACTTGTAAACGGTCAAGATCCCCACCCCGAAGCCATATTTATTCTTGTATGGGACAATAAAACAAATCAAATGAAAAAAATGGCAAGTCCCCTGGGGTCAACCCCACCCCCTCCTGTTTAAGAACTTGTAAACGGTCGAGATCCCCATCCCTAAACCATATATATTCTTGTATGGGAAAATAAAACAAGTCAAATGAAATATAGGGGAAGTCCATGAGGGTAACCCCCACCCCTCTTCTTTTTGATAACTTGTTTACTGTCAAGATCCCCACCCCGAAACCATATATGTTCTTGTATGGGACAATAAAACAAATCAAATGAAATTTAGGGGAAGTCCATGGGGGTAACCCCCACCCCACTTCTTTTTGAAAACTTGTAAACGGTCGAGATCCCCACCCCTAAACCAGATATATTCTTGTATGGGACAATAAAACAAATCAAATGAAATATTGGTGGAGTCCCCGGGTTCACCCCCACCCCCTTCTTTTTGAAAACTTGTAAACGGTCAAGATCC